TTTGCTTCGTCCTCGAGCAAATCCAACAATGTCTATGCACAGTTGATACGGTTGCTGTTAATTCTGAAGTACTGATCTCGGCAGGTTGTAACGGTTGCTGTGTTGTCCTGCTGTCATCCTTGAAGATCTCCGTAATGGTGCTAAATCTTGTTCCTCCTCTGGGGTGTCGCTCTCATCATCGTTGTTGATAGGTCGGCGCTGCCTTTGTTGTAACGCTATCGTCATCCAATCAACGTCTTCTTCTTCATCAGATGAACTGTCTTGTCTGTTTCGATTGGTTTGTCTGCGTGCTGGTCTTCTCTGGTTACGCATCTCTAACATGGGTCTAGGACATACTTGCATCTCTGCCTGGCTCACAACCTTGTCATTTCCTTGTCCATCCGCTCGTTGTACAACATAGGTGTTGTTCTCTCGACGTTCGACAATTTTGTATACCTGATCTTCCCAGTTGTCTTGGATCTTGTTTCTCCCTCTCACTTTTCTGTTCCGCAGTAGTACTCTCTCCAACTCTAAGTGGGTCAGCGGTTGCTCGACCTCGCTTATTATGGGCTTTCTTTCTGGTTTCTGCTGCTTCTTTCATTCTGTTGCTGGTGGTAGTGTAGGCCTCGCGAAGACTGTTTTGATGTTTCGTGATCCACAATTGGTTATCATTTTGGTCCATCCTCTCTTCTTCAGGAAGTAGAATGTCTAGTGGTAGTTTAGCATCTCTTCCAAACATCAGGTAGAATGGTGAGTAGCCTGTCGTTGAATGTGGTGTGGCATTGTAGGCATAGCACAGTTCTCTGAGGTGTTCTGGCCAGCGTCTCTTTTCTCTCACAGGTAGAGTTCTGAGTAGATCATGTAGGGTGCGGTTGAAGCGTTCGCATTGCCCATTTCCCTGTGGGTGGTAGGGGGTTGTTCTTGACTTTCGAACTCCATACWTCTTGCACAACTCCTGAACAAGTTCACCTTCAAAAGATCGTCCTTGGTCGGAGTGTAGTCGTTCTGGGACACCATAAACCAAGAACCATTCTTTGATCAGACTCTTTACTACGGTGGTTGCCTTCTGGTCTCTGGTGGGTATTGCCACAGTGAATTTGGTAAATACATCCGTCACCACGAGCACATTCTCTCTGCCATCCGACGCTGGTTCTAGTAGGGTGAAGTCCATGGCCAGTACTTCCAATGGTCTCGTAGCGAGTAAACTACCAAGTGGGGCTTTTACTGGGAGATAACTTCCTTTGGCCACCACACATCGTTCACATTGGGTTAGCCATAGCTTCACATCACCTTGCATGCCAGGCCACCAGCATCTCCTTCGTAGCAACTGTTCAGTTCTTTCTAGTCCTTGGTGTCCACACTGGTCATGTGCTCCTTTCAGTACTTGTGGTTGCATTGACTTTGGGACGAGTAACAGAGGCAACTCTTCCCCCTGGCCATCTCCTGTGCGTCTGTAGAGGATTCCCTTCCTTTCCTCAATTCTTTTCCAACTTGCGGGTTGACCTTGTTTCTAGTGCACATTCTCGTCTTGATGGTTGGCTTCCGCGATTACGGTAGTGTAGGAGACGGCTGATCGCTGGGTCTTCCTGCTGTAGATGCTGAATCTCACTGAGGGGTATGGTGGGGAAGTGGGTTGCTTGATCCTCCTGGTTGCTCATTTCTGTGTTGCTGATGAATGCTGCTGCTACTGTCAGATGCTCACGTACTTCCTCTGGTACATCTGTTGTGTTGGCACAACTGGCAAGTGCTTGTCTTACTTCAACTGTTGGTGTCTGTTCATCTCTGCTGATACGGCTGAGGGCATCTGCGTTCTGGTTGTGWCGTCCAGGGCGGTACTTGATGGTGAAATTGAAGTTTGCTAGCTCTGCAGCCCATCTTTGCTCCACAGCCTTCAGCTTACTTTTGGATTGGAGGTATGTTAGTGGGTTGTTGTCAGTGTGAACAACAAATTTTGCACCCATCACATATTCTCTGAACTTCTCACAGACAGCCCACTTTAGTGCTAGTAGCTCTAGTTTCCTGGAGGAGTAGTTGTCCATGTTGCGTTCCCCACCTCTCAGACCTCGGCTGGCATATGCAATGACTTTCACTTGTCCATCTTGTTCTTGGGATAGCACGGCTCCTAATCCTTCATTGGATGCATCTGTCTCTATGATGAATGGCTTGTTGTAATCTGGATACGCTAGTATAGGTGCTGAGGTTAGTAGGGTCTTTAACTGGTCGAAGCTGCTTTGACACTCTGGAGTCCACAGTTCTCGGATCTGTTTCCGGGTTGACCTTTTGCCTCCTCCGCTTCCCATCTCTGCGACAACCTTGTGTAGAGGGCCTGCAATCTGGGCGAACTTCGGGACAAATCTCCGGTAGTACGAGGCGAACCCAAGGAACAAACGTAGGTCACGTACAGTTGCTGGGACTGGCCATTCGCTGACTGCTTTCGTCTTCTCAGGATCTGTAGCCACTCCTTCAGTTGATACGACATGTCCCAGGTAGGACACCTTGTTTTGGAAATATTGACACTTGGTAGGTTCAATCTTGAGTCCATGGCTCCGTAGTTTACTGAAGACTGTCTCTAAGCGCTCCAGGTGCTCCTCTATGGTCGCTGAGAAGACAATGATGTCATCTAGGTAGACCATCATGGTACGTAGGACGTCATCCCGGAAGACCCCTTGCATCAGTCTCTGGAAGGTAGCTGGCGCATTCTGCAGTCCGAAGGGCATTCGATTGTACTCGAACAATCCCATTGGGGTTGTGAAGGCCGTCTTGTGCCGGTCACGGGGGTCGACTTCAACTTGGTTGTATGCCGAGGCCAGGTCTATGGTTGAGAAGTACTTTGCGCCAAGCAGTGCTTCCAGTGACTCTTCTATTCTGGGTAGCGGGTACTGGTCTCTTTTGGTCTTCATGTTTAGCTTCCGGTAGTCAACACACATCCTTAATGCACCAGATTTCTTGYGCACTAGTACAATGGGTGAGGCATAGTTGCTTTGGCTTGGTTGTATAACACCTTTCTGTAGTAACTCTTGTAGATGCTGTTGTACCTCTTGATATTGATTCGGGGGGATCCTTCTGTATCTTTCGGTGACCGGCACATCATCATCTGTGTAGATGTGGTGGTATGCTGTCGTCGTACAGCCAAGGTCCTCCTTGTCTTTGGTGAACACTTCTTTGTTCCTTACAAACATCTGGAGGGCTTCCTTCTTCTGAAGTTCAGTTCCAGGGAAATCGTCTAGGGTGATCCCGTGAGGGGGCGCCTGTATCCTCTGCCTTCGTACTTTGCCCACAGTTTCCCGTTTGGGTGGCGTCTGAGGGTCAGCACTGAGACTACAGCACACTGTCACCATGTTATTCTCCTGATGGAACTCCAACTGCTCTCCGGCCTGGACCAATTCTCCCTCTCGGACGATCCCCAGGCGTGTCCTCGGCTTTAGCCATATGTCCTTCGCAGTGTGGTTTGCGACACGAACAAAGTATGACGTCCGGGTGGTGTCTACAAGAGTACTGGCCACGGTTAGGTTTCCTTCTATTGGTACGTTTAGAGGTTCAATTACAGCATCAGTGCCCCATGAGGGGCCTGTTACTAACACATCAGATTCTGTGAAAGGCGGCACCCAGACGTTGTCTGAGCCTGCTACTTTCAGGAACCCAGTTTTTGGCTTTATCTTCTTTCTCTTTTCTTCCTCTGCTTGCAGGATCTGTTGGAATTGAGGTACCCGCCCCAGAACGTTAGTTCCAAGTAGGCATGGTACTCTCCTCTGCAACACTGTAGTGGCTGGTGTGTCTTTGGCGATGAAGATGCCGCACGCGGGAACCCTCACCCCATTTATCTCCACCGTTGCTGTGATGTGGCCTGTGTAGGGAATCTCCAATCCGTTGGCTCCACGTAGCTGTATTAGTTGGGTCCCGACTTGCACGTCTCCTAGGGTTGGCTGTAACTTTTCGCTGTAGAACGACTCGGTGACAAGGGTAACCATGGAGCCCATATCCACAAGACTTTTAACTAGTACTCCGTCGATCCTTGCCATCACAGTGGGACTTGTCCCAACAAACTTGTCATTCTGCAAAATAAATTTAGAGCCACTACAGTGGTCCTCTACGGCATGGCTCACTGCCGCAAAGGGTTGGAGTTTGACGCCTCCTTTTGTGGCTGAGACTGACCTCCGTTGTCAGGTCTCCTTCCTTTGCCAGGTGCCTTGAAGCAGTCCCGGGCAAAGTGCCCCTCCTTGCCGCAGTGGTAGCAGGTAGATGGGCGTGGCTTGACTGATAGGGTCTCCATCAACTTGGTTAGAGTGGCCTGCTGCTGTTGTAGAGTCTCTGCTAGAGTCCTCTGGCCTTGGATGAGGTCTGCAGTGGCTTTCTGGTGCTTGACAGTGACTTCATTACAGTCTAGGGCTCCTTTTGCTCCTATTTCTCTGGAGGCTGCATACCTGGGGAGACGGTCTGTCTCCTCCATGATACGCCGAGCTTCCTCTCTGACTGCCTGGAAGGTCTTGTCTGGGTGTTCACGGATAAGTCTCCTTAGATCCCTGCGCAGCATCCCATCTCGGCCAGCTTCTCCTGCAGCTCAGTCAGCTTTGCTTCCAATTCTTCCATCTTGCTGGTCTCGTTCTTGTTGCTAATAAACCTTAAGTCAACTTTACTTGCAATCCCACTTCTGACACCAAAAATGTAACCGGCAGCAAGGCGCTCAAATCACTAAACAGATTGCAAGT